TGGGCTGATCACTGAGCAGGCTACCACTTCCCCTTGTGTTCTGATCGATTCCCTTTATTGGGGAGCGCATCATCTCTACAATACACACTGCTTGTAAACTACACAGGTGTATGTGCTAATTACAAAGTCGGGCTGACTATTTACATCAACAATCTTAAAGCTGCCAGTGTTTTGGAGCTGGTTGGAGCCAGTCCAGCCTGAGGAGTGGATTGCCTGGTGTGTAACGTTCTAATGCTGATGGAAGCTTTTCCTGTAGTGTGTTCTTCACGCATTTAAAAGCTATTCCTCTCCCTGACACGCAAGACATTCTTCTCTCTGCAGCAGTTATCTGTAAAGAATCTGTAATAACACTACGACTTTTTGAAGACTTTTTTAACTAAGAGGTCCCAAATTTACCAGTGCAGGTAGTTAATAGCTAGGAGGAAGAAAAAACAGAGAAAACCAAAAACCCCACATACAAAACCAGGAATTTTGTTTTAGCGTCCTTGGTCATCCTGGGCATTCTTGGATATACTTGGATAGATTTAGTCTATTCAAATCTAAATATCCGCACATCTGGAACATCAAGACCTGACAGCTTTACACAGGTGCTGTGCAACAATCATCTCTCAAATATAACATGGTAACTATAAACATTACAGCAGTATTTTCAGAGTGATTTCCCAAAAGACAAGATCAATTTCTATCAACAACAAAGACAATGTTTTATTGAACAAATCTATGTACAGTACAAAAAGTTTTTTAAATGAAACACTACTGTTGATTTATTGCAGTTTGATGGCTCAGTTTTAATTTGTACTCTCATATAAAATGCAAAGTAAAATAATTTAACATTCAACAAGGAAGCACAAATTTCCTTTCTTGCTGAACCTGTAACAGCTTTTACAAATTAAGAGAGTCCCAAAATGCATACACTGCATTTAATCAGAAAGGTCTTACACAGTACCAAATAAATTAAGAAAATAGTAACACTACCACCCCCTTTGAGTCTTTTGTCCATACCACTGGTGTTAAACAATAAAAGAAATGAGTACAGCTGAACCTTCAATGTGATATTAAAATCACAAAGTTTAATGTTATAAATTATCCAAACTATACAATTTATATAGTTCTAATGAATATGGCTAAATAACCAAAGTACCAGTGACCTTTCCCCACAGATACGACCACTTTCGGTATTTCTTTTTTTTTTTTTTTGTGAAAGGTGCCTACCAAGCGGCAACTCTGAAAAGTAGAACTCACATGACCCTTACAGCGAACTGTGATCAGGTTAGAGTAGACAGTCTCAACAGGAAAGTCTAAATCCAATCTACAGCCACCTGGAGGAACGTTATTAGAATACGATTACCAGCAATGAACTGCACAGACTTTGACCCAACAAAGCTCCTAAGCTCATGTATAACCTCAGGCAGCCTTCAGATATTTGCACGCTTACATTACACATGTACTTCAGTATTTATTGAATCAAAGTGATACATCTCAAATGCCTGGGGGAAAAAACCCCAACACTTTCAATTCTAGATCTGGAACCTTTTTTCTGCCCTGGAAGTTGCAGGCTTAGTATAGGGTAAAACTCAACATACTGAAGAATCCTTAAAAAGCATGTAGAATTATCCCCCACATTACGAGTATCTTTTTGCTCCTAACTAAAGTTGCTTAATATTGCAACTATCTGAGAATACCAACAGGTATCAGAGAGTAGTTTAAAGAAAATGCAGTGTCTTCTGAAGTAAAATTCATTCAAAAATTTTACTGCCTACTTGCTACTTCAAAGTAAATTTAGCATATTTCTGATAGGTGTTAGGTGATGCTAATATTCACCTACATAAGAATTCAGTTTTCCAGTTCTCCAAAGTGCATATACTGAACACATGGTATAAACAAATGGTGGTGTCCAAGAAAAGCATCTTTGAACAAAAATGCGTTTAATGCAGGTATAAAAAATTATGGTCACAGTTTATGCATGAACATAGATGCATTTATCTACACACTTAAACCAAAGAAAATACAAGTCTCAATCATGTTTTTAAGGCATCTTAAAACACATGGAGCTCCAGGAAAATGCAAAAAAGCACCAAAGATTAAAGGTACATTTAAAAGACTTTACAAAAACATTTTTGTCACATCTATCGACCAAGTCCTTAGATTTTTTAAAACTGCAATACTTTAAAATTAACCTTTTTTTTCCAAATATATTTAAGCAAATTTAACTAGATTAACATTAAGCAAAGAAAGGGGAGCCTGGGAACATTCAAGATAACTGGGTCCTTAAAAATTAGTTGGTAACTTGAAAGCCCTTGCGGCCAAGAAGGACAATGGCATCCTGGGCTGTATCAGAAGGGCTGTGGTGAGTAGGTGGAGAGAGGTTCTCCTTCCCCTCTACTCTGCCCTGGTGAGACCGCATTTGGAATATTGCGCTCAGTTCCAGGCCCCTCAGTTCAAGAAGAACAGGGAATTGCTTGAAAGAGTCCAGCACAGAGCCACAAAGATGACTGAGGGAGTGGAGCATCTCCCTTCTGAGGAGTGGCTGAGGGAGCTGGGTCTCATTAAGGGGTGACCTCATTAACGTTTATCAATTTGTAAAGGGCGAGTGTCAGGAGGAAGGAGCCAGGCTCTTCTCCCTGACGTCCAACGACAGAACAAGGGGCAATGGGTGCAAGCTGGAACATGGGAGGTTCAACCTGAACACGAGGAAAAACTTTTTTACTGTGTAAGTGTCTCAGAGCACTGGACCAGGCTGCCCAGAGAGGTTGTGGAGTCTCCTTCTCTGGAGACATTCAAAACCCGCCTGGACACGTTCCTGTGTGACCTAGTCTAGGTGATCCTGCTCTGGCAGGGGGGTTGGACTGGGTGATCTTTCGAGGTCCCTTCCAACTCCTAATATTCTGTGAAAGCAAAAAATGTGAAAGTGCATTTGGCTGATAAGGTCCCCATTAATTTTATGTTTAAAAACTTTTCGTGTATTTATATATGTAAATATATATATATATTCTGTATATATATGTATATATAATGAACGATGTGTTTAAATCAGTTTTTTTGCAATGGCAAAAAAAATTCTTTGGTGCCTCAAATGTCAAAAATATTTGAAAGTGGGCCAGTCATTGGTATTAATGTAATGCACACATACCTGTGATCATAATTTTATAACCTTTTAAGTTAATCCAACTCAAAGTTAAGGCAAAAATATTCTAGAATTCAAGAGTGTTAATTTGAATTTGTGTTCTTTTTACCTCCCAGGAGGGGAAATGGAAGCATAATTAATGCAACTATCCGATAATTTCACAGAGGATTATTAAAAGAGGCATTACTGAACGATAAAAGTTCCAGAACTACTTAACAGCCTATTTTACAATGAAATGCTTAGGTTTGCACGTGTGAGCCACAGCTACAATGAACAGATCTTTTATGTACCTCCTGATTTTTAACTCATTAGTTTTACGTATCTTGATTTAAGCAAGTTGATCGCTGTATTATGCAATACACACACTGCGATGAGCTATTCAGTAAGCAAACCGGCTGAGCAGGAACAGTTGGTCTTTGCTGTCCCATGTTTCTGTGATGACTCCATCTGTACACACCAGTTTTCATGACTATACCTTCCAAGCCTATAATCACATTAAAATTTTCAGCTACCTGCATAGAGCAGGATCCCAAATAAAACATTTTTAGGTGGCAAGGCAGTGTAAGATCAGTTAAGATAAATTAGTACAGTTATTAGACAATGTGCACATTTGCCACACCTCTGCTTGCGGTGGAAAGACCAAAAACTACAACCACATCATTTTTCTTTATGGATGTCCTGTATTTCAGTGTTACATATAGAGCTGAATCACTCAAATTTCCTGTCTTCACATTCTGATTGTTTCTATGAACAGTGAATTTTGGATAAAGTGCTTAATATTTAGATCTAACTCCTTCACTAACTTCTGGGAAAGGCTATCATTTCAAGAGATGCTACTAGATAGGGTTGTAACGTGTCTTAAGGTTGAGTCAATACATATTTCCTCCCTTCCTCTAGACAGTAAATAAGCAGTTACAGTACTGAGTTGTGACCTAACACCATGAACCAATATCACATACGTGAGACAGGCTCTTTCTGATCTTGTTTTCCAACCTGACACGTGCTCCGCTTTTGTCTGTCCTTTTTTTTTTTTTGCTTTGAACAGGAAGCCATCTCAAGTTCTTCACCTCTGTATTTGCAAATTAGTTTAACTCTGCCCTGCAATGCAAGCTTAACCCCCTTCACATTCTATATTTGTTTCAATCTGCTTCCGTTGATATCCACACCATCTGTGCATGTACTGCTTGTATAAGTTTTCCTGCACCTACAACAGATGTTTTACAGGACACTCTAAACATACACATTTACCATAGCCTTGAAAAGGGCTCCTATTGCATGCATCTGATTTCCACTTTGCCTAACTTTCACACTTGATATCACATCAGCTCACTTTTCCTCGCATGCTCTGTACTTCAAGTTTTTGGCTGTTGGAGCATTTAATCCATCTTAGATTTCTTTCTACATTCCTCTATTTGGATTCTGAGTATAAGTTTATTAAATGAGCTCCATGATTTTTATCAGATAATGGAATTACGTACTCAAACTTTGCAAAAAGAATGCATGGTTCCTCTACACATTTCTTATCGATGTTATAATGATGTAACAGCTTCTTGACCGATTCCTTTCCAGCTGTGTGGATGAATATCCTTTAACCACACATTTTCCAACTAAAGCAGCTTTCAGAATTGGCTGGTTTTATTTCCATTCAACAATTAACTCCTCTGCTTGCTCAACTGTATGCCTTATTTTCCTTAAACCTGCATACTAAAAAGACTGTGCTGCTAAGCTTCAATCACAGATTTGGAATGAATGTGGCTTTTCGGATAACTGGTACTTTGGGGATTTTGTAGCAACCTTTCTGGACTCAAGACCTGCAGAGCTCCTATTATTCCTCTGTGAATTTTGTCTAGAAAATGTGCTTTGTCTTTATCAAGGTCATGTATTTCTTTAGTAATTTGAGACTGCTTTATGATTAAGGCCAACTGGGAAACAAACTGATGCTTCTTCATGTAGTGTTTTCTTACACCACTCCTTGTTTGGTACATTTTCCCATAATGTTGAATCAGGCACCTGTAAAAGAGAATGCATTGAGATCAAAAGTAGGACTAACCAACAGAAATCATTCTTTAATCTAGAACACTGCTTATGTTTTTCAACATGTTTAGTTTCAAATATACAAGGAAAGACAGACTGAATTACCAGATCTGTTTTACGAGAAGTCTTTTGCATTACAGTTGCCTATTAATTCTCCCCATTTCTTTCTTATTCTAAAGTGCACGTCCAATTCGAACTTCTAATTTAGCACAGTATTGTGATTTGTCTAAGTTCCTGCATACTGCAACTGCTTAGAAGTTGTGTCACCCTTATCTACTCGATCTGGTTGCCCGCTTTCAAAGACCATTTTCTGGTTGGTATCTACCTCCGAACAAACCAACCCAGGATTGTAAGACTTACTTTCATCGTCTGAATCAAATCCAAAGAGCGTCTGACACTTCTTTTGTGCAAGGTGAGCCTCAAGTGCTTCTGAATTACAGTAGATGGTCAAGCAGTTGCCGCATCTAAATCTTTCTGTTGGTTTGCTACAAAATTTATCTTGTTCAGAATAAGCATCTACTTTATCAGTCAACATTTTTCTACGTTTTGGCATGCTAATGTATCGTTCATCAAGGTAACTTGGAGGCAACGGTCTAACATACGGTTTTGTTAAGATGACACCATATGAAGTATTCTCTGTTGTCTGATTTGGTTTAGAAGGTAATTGCGAGGGAGCAGCATTATGTTGTGGTATATCCTGACAGTTCTGTAAAACTGGTAACACAGACCCATTTTCTGTCCTTGTTTCATCTGCCACTCTGTCCAAAGGTATTTCTGATGACTTTGATGATGTCTGATCTAGGTCACTGTGCCCATTGACTAGTTGGTCGCTAACAACATTACAGTTTTCAGAATTTGGCTGCAACACAGGTGTCTTTTGGTCTATGAAACTTAAAACTGTAGTGCTGCCCTCAGACGAGCTTTCGTTTCCATTGTGTATCATATTATTTGCTTTCTTCTCAACACTTTGTATATATGTCTTTGGTTCTGTAGAATCCTTCCTTGACTTCCAAGTTGGAATCGGTAAATCTACAGTTTCTTTATCATTAATAGATTCCTCATTGTCTTGGAAACTACAAAGTTCTGAAGGATCATCTGAAGAATCTTTTTCACTTGCATCTTCTGAACATTCCGGTGTTTTATTTAAATAATGCTGAGCCTCATGTTTATACAGCAAAGGGAGCTCCTCAAACAGCTCCGAGCACTCTGCGAAATTACATTGAGCTTTAAAAACACTATGACTTTTTGTATGTTCTGCAAGCTCAGTTGACAGCTTAAATCTCTGATTACAATTAAAGTGTAAACAAAAGTAAACATTTGGATACACATGTCTCTTCAGGTGGTCTATAAAATGTTGGGAATCAGCAAATTTCCTCTGGCAGAACCGGCATTTTCCTTTATTCCATTTCATTATATGCTGCTGCACCTTCAGATCAGTTGGATGAGCTTTTCTTGCATGTTTATTGAGAAATCTGATCTTTTTAAACACTCTAGCACAACCATTTGCAGGGCACTTAAAGGTTCCTTCCTCATCCATAGCATCAATGTCTTTCTGAGGGCAAAAAGCTCCATTCACTTTATGCAGAATAGGTGACTCTTTACTGGAGCTCTCATCGTCTTCAGGCAAACTTTCTGTACTTAAAGCGTCAGGAACATTATTAAAGCAGCTGTCACTACTATTTTCAGTAGCATCATCCTGGTCACTTAGATGGTTTTCCACCACATCAAGCACCTGTTCTGCATTCTCTTCCTCTACTTGGACCACTTGATCAGCACTTGGAGCTACTGCAGCTTCTGCTTCATTAGCTTTGGAACCATCAGAATTCCCGTTTTCAAGAGAAACATCAGAGTGTTCCAGTTCCTTCAGAGCAGGAGCCTGCTGACCAGCTTCAAGAACTGCAGCAAGATGTTGCCTTTCTATCTTCCTGACATGATTCTTTAAGTGCTTCAGCATAAGTCCTTTTTGCCTGAACTTTCTGGTGCAAAGTACACAGGAAAAACTACCCTTTTTTTGGTGAGCTTGTGCATGTTTCACAATGTGACCACCAAGAAATTCCTTGTTGCATATCACGCAGCAGTGCCTTGGTTCAGTTTGATCTAACATTTCAGATGCCTCAAGAGCTTCATGGTTATTTTTGGCATTACCTTTGGACTGGGCTTCGGAGAGGTCTTCAGGGTCAAGCTCCCCATTGCTTACATCTGTCAAACTGACACGTTCCTCACCCAGAGCCCTATACTCTGTAATCTTCTCTGTGTTTGCAGTAGAGTTTTCCAGTGTACTTTCACTTAAGCCAACAAAGGCTTTATCTCCCAATAACGCTAAACAATTCTGCTTGATCATCAAGAAATTCCAAAACTCAGGATCAAAAAACAAACCTTTTTTCAAAATTGGAAGCAATTCAAAACGTACACGGTTTTGAACAGAACTAGCGCACTCATTGTATTCTTCATCTGCACACTTATATAAGTGTTCAACAGTGTAGTAAGACTCCAAGGTGCGCTCAAGAAAAAAGATTGAAAGAGCACAGATTCTGAGGATCTCCAAGTCATTTGGCAGAAAATGAGCAATCGCTTTATAAATAAGACTTTTCATGTTGGGGTCTTCACGGAGGTCCAACTGGAGGGCACATCCACATATTTCAACGCATATCTGAAGACCATCTTCACCAACCTGCAGGAAGAAAATTACAGTGTACATAATTATAGAGAATACATAATGGTATTTTCCTCATGGCCTTACAAAATTCTACAGCTTGAAAGTAAACTTAAAAAAAATCGGACCCACAGAAAAAAAGAAAAAGGAGCTAGTATAAGCAATGCCCAAACTTCCACATCCCATGTATTTATATTCATCTTACTTACAAAATAGCTAAGAGTTCAGAAAGCACCCTGCTAGCAAACTTCACCTAAAGGCACATACATTTTAAAATAGTGTTCAAATAAGACTATAAAATACAGATACAAAAATGCTCACAAATAACATCTGGTTTGCACTGAAAGCTATAAAGCTACTGTCAACAGATTGATACTTTCGCCACGTGCAGTTCTATGTTAAAAGACAAATAATTATTTGGGGATATAAAAAGAGTGCACATAATATCTGATCTAGCAGTATCTTCTGTCTGCATCTTCATTACCTAGGCTGTTTCACACTGTAATTTGACAGTTACTCTATATTTTGTTCCTGTTCTAACTCATTTAACTTGCATTGCATAAAAACAGAAGCTATAACATATTGCCCTCAATTTTGAACAACCACCACCAGAGAAACTGTAAAAACCCATGGGCAAGCATTCTAAAAGGCTTGACTTTTCAGAATTGACAAACTTTCCTTCCAATGAGCAGAATTCCTGTTCCTCACTTTAGGCTGGGGGCTCTGCCATGAACACGTGATTCAGAAGGATGATCAGAAACACACTGCCCAGCAGGTAGCAGGTTAACGTAAAAAGTGTTTCAGAAGTTCAGAAATAATTAATACCTACCTGTATTTAAATGTGTGTTAACATATACATACAATGTTCCACTCCATTTGTAGTGGGTTATTAAAAAATACAATCATTCAGATGCAAACCCAAGTTATTCATGTCACTACAAGTATTTTAGAATACATACCGAGATTAAAATCTCGAACAGCAGCAAATCATTGCATTTAGAATTGTACACCAGCACCCGTGACAAAATAATTTATAATTCATTTAAGGCATAGAATACAAAGGAACTCTGTTCAGTCAGGTTAATAATAAAAAAAAAATTGCTTGGAAACAACTCAAACCGCTGTGTACAAAACATTGCACGTTACATCTTTTGCAGATGTTCGTGTGGGACAGCATAATACTAACATTTGAAGCATGACACAGTGCACTTTTCTGAAGCAAAATTGTGACTTCTCCTATCTTAGTCTAGCTTTTCCTTTATGTTACATTAAGCACTTCTTCAGATTTGATTAGAACAGGTAAAAGGACTCAGAATCTAACAAGGGAGAAAGGAGGATGCAGTGGCATTACTCAAGTTCTATTTCCTTAAGGAGCCAGGCTGAAAAAAAACCAACCAAACCCAACTGATGCATCTTCCATATTTACTCCATGTATCTATTATTAAACTCCCATTTACAGAGGATGACATTCCTCAAACTTACTGCCAACAGAAAGGAAGACTCGGAATTCAGTAACAAACAAACAAACACACACACACACCTTAAACACACAACAGATCAAGGGCAATCATAATATTGAAGCACAGTCTGGGACTTGACAAAATTAAGATAATGTTGTGGCCTTCCCTACCCCTCTTACCTTTCCACAAGAAGTGGCCATTACACAATAGAAGTATCTCTTTACTTCAACTAGTTACAAAAAGAATGGGGGATGGGGTAAAACAAAAAACCAAAACTTACTTCATCCTTAATGACTTTCATGAAAGGGAAAATTACTCTGACATTTGTAGCAATTCTTAAAAGCTGGTAGCACTGGTCGACAAATACTTGTTTTGATGGGTTAGATTTAAGCTGCAGTTTACTCCAAATGAAGATCAGGTCCCTATAAGTACAGAACAAAATATTTCAATTAGATTGAATTTTAGAACTATCACTAAGCATGATGCATTACTAAGAACAACTACTTGCATATTCTGTAACTAAAATGATATTTGAGGGTATAATACCAATCTAATTAACACCACAACTGTACAATGGAAAATGCAACTTAATGCAACTTAATTACTTTGTTAAAGTATTCAGGGTATCTCCTCTCACTGAGCCAATTAAATATTCAACACAAAATTAATGTATTCAGTTTAGTATCAGAGAACTGCGTAATAAAATCAGATGCTACAGCATCTAGCCCTTACCACCATAGGGAATAAACGTCAGGCTGAACAGTAAGCTCTGTGTGCTCTTGGGATTAAGTTACTTTTAGTGCAAGGATGAGGAATCCCTCAGGAAAAGCAGTGTTTGAATGTGGAAAATGGAAGCATTGTAGAAAACCAGCTTCTGATATGGTCCATTGACAGGCAATATTGATGTTCTCCAGCTGTGCGCATTACAACACAATTTTCTGGTTTTACTGCTGTCACCAATGGTCTTTCTAGCCAATAGCAGTTGCATCAAAGTATCAGCTCTACAACTATTCATACACCTCCATGACCTGCAGCCAAGTAACACTTCCAACTGACAGAAGAGAACATAAGAATAGATTGCTAGACTCTGCAGCAGAGCTCCTAAACAGGGAATGTGTTAAGTCTATAAAATACAGCCAACTGAAATTTACTGTCTGTAATTACTACACACATCAATTCAGAGACTCAGAAAGGTAACTGGACTTAGCTTTTACTTATTAGAAAATTTGCCAGCACAAAGATTTTACACAGGAGTAGCTATCATTAGGACTAGGCAGAAATCCCACCATAACATTACAAAGAAAACAGGGGACTGACCAACTTCCATTTTCTGAAGGAAGACGCTTTTTTATTCCACCAGCTGCCTCCCTCAGAAAACACAAACCCAGTTACTGACAAAATATTTGCCTCATCTTTCAGAGTCTCTAGACCGTGCCAGATATAAATCAGACAAGCCTTCTGAGATTAAGCTTGTCTACTGAGGTCAGGGCCTGCATGAAGGGAAGTGACAGAACTGCCTATGACGAAACACCAACTTCACTTTTAAATTTAGGACAGCTCTACAATTCTGCCTGACATTTTAAGAGCTAGACAAGAGAACTCAATTGTTTTCTTGTACTCAGAACCCAAGAAAACTGAAGTCGAAAGAAAGACCAAGCTTAGATGGGAGAAACTGTGTAAAGGGAGTTCTATAAGCAGCTCTATCCACAAAAACATTAGCCTTACAGGCTTTCTACAGATACAAGCTGTTCACCTCTGCCTTTACCAGGCTAGAAATCTAAATTCTTGAAAAGTCTTGCAAACTTTACACACAAGTTTGAAACTAGAGTCTTTGTACACCAAACCATTAATAAAAATTCAGTAAAAAGTCTAAACTTGAAGTACCAAAGTACTGAACATTTTTGCTGTTAAATGTTACAGCTACAATTTATTCTCTGCTTTGTCTCATACCGTTTCAAAACACGTCATTTCAACACTAACCCCAGAGAATTTGAGAAAACTCAAATTATTCTTCTGAGAGATTAGTGGTTGAAGTGGCTTGCCATGTGTTCAGACAAGTATGATGGCTGGCACAAGGACAGAGCTAAAAAGGAATGGAGAAAACTGACATTAGAAGGAACAGCTCCATGGGCTAAGAGCAAGCTGTTAAATCAGTTTAACCACCATTTGACTAGACCCTGAATTGAAATAGTACTTTAGTGTTATTACTCCATGTAGACATTGGAGCTTCTTCTTAAGCACATTTCTGACTTTGATAATCATTAAGGATTAAAGCATTCTTGAAGAGCTGACTGAACTCTATTTCAACCACTTAAATGCTTTGGACACCAACTTTAATGCTGAAGTCAGTAGCACTCGAGATTTCTGTCACTGACCACAACACAGATGATAAACTTGAGATAACATAAGTAGGGGTAGTTTCCTATTTGCTTGATTATTATGGCATAGTATAGTACATCATGACATTTACTTCTTGAATAGTATAACTTAGTTCACACCTGAGGCCTGTGCTTAAAACTATTATGGACGTGTGTTGGGGCAACTAAAACTGTTACTGTGAGATCACAGAACTCGGGAATTCTTTACCAGAGGCAGCCCTTTAACATCCTGCAAAATGCCAAACCCACCAGCAGTATAAGAGAACGGTTAAGACTACCCTACCTTAGCTAGATCTAAAACCTTTGCTATTGTTGGTAAGCGGAAGGTCTATCTTTCCGTGGTTATAGACAGCACGCTTTACCAAAATGTTATCCAGTGAACAAAAATTACCTAAAGTCAAAGACTGATGCAATGTATGGGAAAAATTCCTTGGCTTACTGAATTTACTGCAAAGGAAACACTTGAAAATAGCCAAAACAGCATTTAAAAACTGCTTGGCAGAGAAGGCAAGCCATTCTGCTCTATCTGTTCCATCAATATTTTGGCTGTCTTCCTGAAGTGACACCACTTTTTGATACTACAAAGTCATTAATCACATCATTATGGACTGATCTCTTACCAACACCTTGTAGTGGGCCAAGTACAGCTTGCTTTGTGATTAATTTGTAAATGGTCTTCATTTCAGAAAAATTATTCAGATAATTAAAATCTAGAGCTTATTTTTAGTATCAGTGAAAACAACAGGAGTTTTGTGACAGAGCTGCTTAAAGTCCATCTTCCCCTGAGCTAATGGTTTCGGTGTGAAGATTTCATATAGGCTGCTCCACCTGAAGTAACAGAAAGTATCTGCTATTTACAGCTTTCTAATCTATTTTGGTATCTTATATTTGCTCCTAGTATTTACTGCTAGATCTGTAAGGTCCTCAATCCCAGATAAGGCAAGATGATTTATGCTGTGCTGAAGATGTTAAAATCTTCTCTAGGGACAAAATACACAATGTGGAATCATTTAACCTGGCTCCAATAAAAACTGAATTACAGTATAGTCGTGCCTTCACAAGCTTTGTTCCAGTTTACATTATCTATGAAGCATTATGCAGATTTCTCTTGTTGAGTATGCAATTGCTAAGGCTCAGCATCTGTAAAGAACAAAACAGCTATTCCAGCTGCACAGACATAACTGCTCTGAGCTCTTTCAAAGACCTTCAAGTTCTATATTCTGAATAGAAGATTAAAACACCAAGAGATGTCAAAATGGTTTTCTCAATAAACAGATATGAAACAGTACTGTACTCTCTTCTGGAATTTCATTTTTGGCATCCACTTTGCCAGAACATAAGGACAGACATCTTGTTTTGAACAGCATTTTTCAAAACAGATGAAGCAAAACTTAACGATCAACTGGGGAGGAACAAGGTTAACATGTGACTACAGCAAAAAGTATAAAAAGTAGCTTTAATTTCAGTATTTAAAATGCACTTAAAAGACTGTATTCCCAAAACAGAAAGCACTAACCATGTAACTAATACGTGTATGTTACATCTGCAAATTTCCTGACAAGTAATAAGTCAGGAGATGCAGCATTTGGGCAGGAATCAGCAAAAGTGGATTCCATTCCAAGGTTGGTCACTGGGCTCACATAAAATATGTACCTTTTTGGTTGAACAACTTCATCTGTCTTATGGGGACAGCCATGCCCACATTCTCTGGACAGACTGAATGAAAAATACCACTAGGTATTAAGAACATACTGTATTAAAAATGTATGTCAATCATAACTACAAAGGTTTTGATTCAACACAATCAATTACTCATCCAATAGTTAAGGAAAGAATTTTTTAACAAATCAAGCATTTTGAAGTGTTACCTTCATTACTTTCTCAAAAAAAAGGAGACACCTTGCTTTTCAATTCTCTGAAATTTGTGAACAGAGAAGTCCTATATAGATTCTAAACTCCATATTAAAATTACTTATGCAGATTAATAATTCTATCTTTATTGATTGGGGGAAAAATATTGCTGACTAAACCTTTTTGCTTCAACTACATAAACAAATTAAGCCTACTTTATCAAGCAATGCAGATGTTACCGTAGGTATAGAAATTATATAGGCTAAACAGAAGGATTATCTTCCTTAGTCATCTTTCAGTCCTCAGAATGATTAAATTTGTTTTGACAACTCTTCAGAAAATGCTTCTTAGCCATTAAAACATCCAATTATCAAGCTGATTCAGTGTGTATGAAGACATTCTTACTTAAATGTTTTCTAGAGGACCACCATTTATCTTCTGTTTATGGTTCTGTTTACAAAGTAAAAGTTTTAATAATTCATAGCACATTTCCAGAACCATACATTCTTTTTTTGGACTCTTTCTAGTTTGTTTATTATAAGCAGTGTCATTTACCTAGCAGAATGACAAAATATCTGCATTGCTAGAGTCTACAGACTGCATATTGTAACACATTGCTAATAATAACTGTCATATTAAGAGGCATTTACAGCCTAAACTAGGTAAAAGCTCACTCTTTGGTTACTTTGAAACAGCCATTAAGTGTTATGTGCTATGTAGGCTACCATTGTACATGATTGCGTGTAAAAAGGCAACAGGTGTAACAGATATACTAAGAATGCCTAAAAATCAAGTTAGAATGTTTTGATCTGGTATTTTAAACTTGAGCTACATCTCAAAGTTAGAGGAGTTTCACTTTGGCAATAAGCATTAATTATCTGCTGAGCTGCTTCACCAGAAAGAAAGTATTTACCATATACAATACATGTCCCCATTTTGAAGCTGTGGGACTAGGAACGATTCACATAGTTGTAAGGCTAAGGTAGTCTTCCCTTCTTTTTCAGTGTTGCAGATGATCTCAATTCCACTCTTGCAATCAGTCCTCAACAAGTGCTATACAATTAAAATAAAATCAATTTAGATAAATTGGCTAACATGAAATAAAAACGTATCAGACCTTTCTATATTAAAGAAGCTACTGAAAACTTCAGGAATTGCTGTTAACATAGGATTTCTTTGGAACAGCTTTTGCATAGGTCCTTAAATAGAGATTTTGGAGATATTTAGAGCTCTTTCGTATTTCTTAGAGTAATTACAATACTAATAACTGAGAAATTAAAAGACTACACAAAAGTACTTCTTTGTACGATGGTAAGCTTGTTCTTAAAACAAGGTTAAGAAAAGCAGTTATCCAGCATGTGCTATCAGTGGTAAAAGTAGGGCCACATTCAGCTACAGTCTCATTTTACACACTGGGGCATCACTAAAAAAAGAACTTTAAGGCTAACAAAACTATATAATGTGCAAACCACTGGGCTGACACCAATTAGGCTCAAGGGCTTTTGCTAGAATAATAGTCAATAGTAAAACAGTCAATACACTGAAGTTACAAAACACTAGAGACTCAAGTTATTTAGGGAATATATGTACAAGGAAACTTGACCAAAAAAAATTTGCATGTAGGTCAAAAAGATTTCTAGGCGCTTAACATTTAACTTTTCAGAGCTTAAGCCAGCAGCACTAAGTTAAGCAACACCTGTATAGGTGCCTGATTTTTTGACATTTGGTTCTACAAAAACAGAGATCCATATGCTCCTCTTGACAACTTGCATACAGTAAGTATAATGTACTACTTCATTAAAAAAAAGTATACTGACAAACAATACCTCCTGGAATAGCTGATCTTCTAATGGTGACATATAAAGACAGGTGAAAAGAGCTTGATGGAAATACAGATCTTTACTGATATCTGGATGATTTATGCAAGATTTGATAAGAGCCATTGCCTCAGGGATGCGTTCACAGGCAATAAGGTATCTGGCACGTAGTTCAAAGAACAGTGGATTTTCAGAGCTTAAATATTTGTTAACTGCACAGAAAAGAAAGATTTAAAGGCAATTAGAATACGAAGTCCAAACAACCAATATATTTAAATGTAATGTTGTTCTTAATAGTGCAATTTCAACGAATAATATAAAAAGGCTCTGCTAAAGAAGCTAACATATTAAATACAATCAAGAATCTGTCCTTCTGCTTGGAAAGATAAATTGTTATATTTTTTACACCAGTAATCTAATTCAGTATTTTGTTTTTAACAGATCAACACAAGGTGCTGCAAAAGGATTAGTAAAACACACACTATACAGAAGCAGACATGAACAATTCTGAGAAAGAAAATTCCCTCCTTTCTCAGCACTGGAATCTGAGTGGTTGTCAGAACTATAGGATCAACATCACTTACAACGTTATAACCGTAAATAATTAAAACAATCCAGGATACTCATTACCCATTAAAATGGAAGAGCTCGGAGTGGTGAAAAAAATAACTAGAATTAGCACGCTAGTGCTTTAAGTAGCTTTGAACACCTTGATTTTCTGCGGAAAATATACTTTTGCTTCCACTCAAAGTGCTACTGGGCACAATTCTAAATCCCCAAATACCTTTAAATTCCAGGTCTTGATTTACAGAAATCTAAAAGCTAATCTTAAAGCTGACATTTGAATGAATTTTTTTCAACTGAGATATTCAAAATACTTAACATTTAAATAGCTAGGAAATTATAAAATACACAGAAGACATGCTTTAGATCTCTAGTATAAAAGATCACACAGGTTCAAGTATCTCTTACGATTAAGTCAAGGGTACAAAATGCAGTAATGCTGCTTTTATTTTGAGAATTGTTTGCATCTTGTCAAGTAAATGCACGCTCTGAGGTGTTAATGGTGCGTTAACATTTATGTAATGTATTGGACAATATGGCCTGATCTTCCTTTTCTGTTCGCAACAGCTATCTTAAGAGTAAGAATTAAACCTCTACAAATTAGTGTATAACCTGCAGTACTGTACAGTGTTCCGTACTAAAAGAAAAAGAAGATTGTGAATTTAAAGTCAATGAAGGCTAGAAGTGAACATGGCAAGTTTATACTTTAGAAAGAACCAGCATTAATAAAGTTACAAGCAACTTAAAGTGATACTTAAAATGATAAAAAAATAGAAGTGGTTACTGAAAACCACAATCTGAATAGCTAAGACATTTTTTTCCCCAAAAAAGAGAAACATTATCTGTATAACAAGGTTTCACTTTAACTTCTTTTTTGAATGACCTCTAGTTTTAAAGACATTTCTTATGCTCAGAAACAAGATTTCTCTAGCATCTTTATTTTTATGCAAGCTAGTGGTACATGCTAATGAATACTTAAGGAATATTATTCAAAGTGATATAACGTTTTAGATGATGTTTGTCAATAAACGTTCTGTAAGGTCCACCATAAGAGAAGACCTAATTCCTACTATTAGCACTTCTGGATACAAACTTAGTAAAGATAATGACTGAAAAAAAAAGCCAGTGTCTAACAGTAGTCATCTACTGCAAGAAAATTGATCATATAGAACAACCCTTAAAGCCAAGTAAAGGCTTCTTCTCTTCTAAATTAAAACACTTATCAGTATCATATGCAAACATTGCCCAACAGATTATTGACTATTCACATTGAAAAATTAGGCCAGAAATAATTAGCTTTTGTTACATGCTGATGTTAAGGAAATGCTGAATGTGTAACAACTGGCTGTAATATCCTTCCCCTCAGGTCAGTATGTCTGTCTGCTCCATAAATGAGAACTCCACTTCTGGCAGCACGAGCTCCCAGGGAAGGGAGTCTTCTACACCCTCCAATGCTGTTTTTAAACAGACTGCGAGTTCCAGCTGCACCACTGGCAGGATTGTGCTCCCTTCCTGTAGTGGAAGGCCCTCTTTTCCCAGGGCAGCATTTACAGTACTTTCAATCCCCCAAGTAAAAGACAACTGCTAACTACAGTAGCATTTAGCCAAGTCTGCGATACATTAAAAACAGCTCAGGGAAAACAACTTCTATTCTTGTCCAGGCAGCACGTGTGGTGCTTTGCTTTAGAGCAATAGATGCCAATTAATTAACTGCTTACATCTGAGTGTACCTCTGTCTACAATAGGCTGCCTCATTCTTCTTAATCTCTTAGAAGTTCACTGCTCCTGTGCTTCAACCCTGCTATTTTTCTTCAAACCCAAAGACAGTCCTTCTTTCCAGCCATCTCAAAATGAACTGCAGCATTTCAAAGTATACTACAATCCATGAAAAGACAGACACAGCAAGGTTTATCTTGGCTGAAGCTTTTCCATGTAATTAACGCATCCAAAGCAGGATTATGTAGTTCACACAATGCGTATTTATCAAACTGACTTTTGCAAGTAATGCTTGGTGATTCAGCAATAACAGGCAGTTCTCCTCATTAAAATAGTGATCCCCGAGGGAACTGTATGGCCAAAATACACACCAAACGCGCCAGCCTATAAAGTAGTACAGAATGTTTGCTTTGTGTAAGACTTCACTGGAATCAGATTTTGAAGGAAACAGGACAAGAAAGAAAACGCTTCCAAAAGATATAATCTAAAATAAAATGTTTGTCATCACAAATGAGATATGTCAAGGGTGTGTGCGGGGATATTAGAAGATAAAAGGAGGAAGAATATCTCAGCAGAGGGAAAGGAGATGTGGCCTGCAACAAAAGGAAACAAAACTATCATCTAGTGACCACACGTAGTCTCATTCCTACTCTGCCAGGTTAAAACTCAGTAGAAATGCTCAAACCATTACCCATCATATAGAGGCTTCATGATGATGAAGGAAATCATTAAGGCAAAGGACTAAACTCATTCTTTGCTGGAAAGATGGAGACCCGAGACCTAACTTCAGATCATAACCACCAAAACTTCTAGAGCTCATCATGCGATGTAGAACAAAACAAGGATAATCTTTGCTTTCATTTTTTTTCTGTAGGTATTTGACTAGAAGTTTATCAGATACATAATAAGAATCATGGGTAAGCTGTGTTGCTCAAGGCTTGTTTCACAAGAGACAAAACAACAAAGACATTGTTACATCTTAATCGTGTTAATTTGTCATCAAAGTACTTTCTCTGGTTAAGGAGGTGGCTCACTGAGCTGTTGTGACTTCATAGTTCTCCTTTCTCCATAGAACCAACACATTGTCCTCAACACAGTAATGAATTTGAAGCATGCACTAAACCACAGTAACTAGAGAAGAACTAGCATCCTCTGTCACCATCAAACAGAAACAACTTTTAGGAGGTCCTCTGTGAACACTGCTAGCAAATAAATATGTTGCATAAGATGTTAGTAAAGACTTTACTGTAGATTGAACATATTCCCCTTATGAACTTCCATTAACATTCTGGTAATTTTTGTTTCCACACGCTGTTAAAAACACTGGTTTACTTTGCAGCGTGAACAGTAATCTTTCTCCTATTCCCAACTCTAGGAATTATACATAAACAGAAAGCAGCTATCGGGTACAGCCACAGGTCTTATTCTAAACAGAATCAAGAAAAGCCACAAGCCCCACTGTTTACAATTTAGAAAGAGAAATCAAATGAGTCAGAGTACTATGAGATAGAAATACACATCAGTTCCTGCCTGATCATGTTACTTCAGTAGCCTAACTGAATTCAAGTCACTCTCCACGCTCTTTCATGGGTTGAACACCTGGATTTGGTAACTTCATTTTGTAAGCAAATGCTCAGCAGCCTCTTGTATCTGAATAACTTGATCTCTCCCTTCTAAAAGTAGACTTAAAACTACTAGCAAAGAAATTTAGTTTTCTTTCAAACAAAAATAAAGGGGATTGGTACATTTTACTACAGGAAAATAGTTAACTTGTGTGCAACACCAGCTGACAACACTTGACCCATATCAAAAAAGCATAACTTAACACATTTTTCAGTACTATAAATAATTAACGTGGTAAATGAAGTACCTAATTCCTGTGACACAGGCTTTGCTTTAAGAATTGCTTGTAATACTGGATTCTCCCATGGTCCACCATCTCGGATGATGCGTGTCACTAGTTCCAGATTCATATTTCTGTATCTACTTAGAAGGTTCTGACATTCCTACATGTAAAAAGGAAAATAATTAGGAAAAAAAGAAAGAAAAAACCCCTACCCTTATCTAAAAATAAAGTTAGGCCATCCAAAAGATACAAATTAAGAAAACCCACGCATGTTTAAATATTTCCTCAGTCAACATTTCAAAGCTACAAATTCTTTTATTGACCAGGCCTAAACAAAGCCCTAAAGCAACAACTTATATTCCCTGAAAACAGTAATATGGAACTGTGGCTGTCACATCTTCTACAAGCACCCAGCAAGAGCCTGTAATTTGTGTAACAACACAAAAATGCCTTTCCTTGAATTAGAGATATTGCTGGCACAGGCTGTTGGAGAAGTCTTCACCCCATGCTAGTTGGCACAGATTTAGACATGTTGACACTGGATTTGTGATCTAGTAACAGTGTCTGAATTCTATGAGAGAAAAACTGAATTAAGTCACCAGCTCTCAAGCAACCAGCTTTCTCCAAATCTCTATGTAACAAAAATCATGCTTGCCTAAAATAATCCAGAATGTTTTAGCCACCCATAATTTTCACATATGCCAAGTTCCACCTCTCCTCATTATTTGCTGGTAAAAGCATCAACATTAGTGTTAATCAACAGCATAATTTTAGTAACAAGAAAAAGGTATCTAATTCTGTAACAAAAAAGTGCAGCAAGAAGAATGGCTTCTATGCACATATATTAACTTCTTCACATATGCTTTTGTGCTGTAAATGTTTTTGTTTCAATTTAATTTTTTCTTTTATATTCAGGTGAATAGGATGGCAAAAAATGTTTTAGTAACTAAAAAAGTGGATTACACAACTGATTCAGAAATTCTTTATCTAGAAAATTGTGTAAAGATCTATTTTAGTATATTCACTGTTTAAAAGTCAAGCCAATTGAGAATCATTTTAAAAAGCACAGAGAAGAAAGTATTATATATCACACTTTTTCCTAAATTCTTTCTTGTTCATAGACTGTTTTTGAAAAGTACTTACTGCAGGACTGCCAAAACATCCCATTATTATTATAGAAGAAACCCTTACCCATAGCTGAGACTCCTAAGCCAGTTCTTGACCCCATTTTTCCACCATTCTAATCAAGCACGTAATTACTGATGGTTTGACAATTACGGTAAGTAGTGCTGACACTTTAATTTGTAGCAGCAGCAACAAACAGGTATCAACACAAAAATAACAAAAGGACAGGTATTTCTCAAACTGCAGCTAATAGAAGGAAACAACCCTGGTTTTCATCCTTTCTTTGCCTACAACAAAGTTTCCTCTCATGGTGCCACAAGTACTTGTGTTCCCATGCAGTGAACTCAAGACTCAAAATCAGTTCAGGTCAAAAAGACTTATCTGGAAAAAAAAAGGCAAGTTTTTAAACCCAAGATCATTTATCTTAAACAATTGTATATAGCCATACAAAACCAAGAGTACCACAGTTTTAAACAATACAAGATAATGGTGAGCAGAAGAGTTCACTGAGACAAAGCTTCCATTTCAAATTTACTATTTAAAACCGCAGAGGGAAACTTGAGGTTTCATGTCATAAACTGGTACACAACACTGGATGACATTAAGTTCTAATTAGATATAAGCAAGCAAAGTTTCTCTCTTCTATGTCTTTAACATGATTGGTATAACAAAGAAGTATATTTTACTTAGTCCAAGTACACTCAAACAGCAGTACTGATGATAAATGTACGAATAAATGGTTTTCTCTTCAAATATCTCCCCCACCTCCCCTTTTTTTAATCCCCCTTTGGGTAGAAACGTAAGTAAAGCAGCTACCTTCTTTCACTGTAATGATATGTTTCCTCCAGGCTACATGTCCACATGAACTATCTGTTACGTGTACTAAAATAATATTAAGGTTTATATAAAAGTAGGCAACACTACCTGGATTGAACCTAAAATATCCTTCAGAGGATCTTCATAGAACTCATCCTTTCCAAAGAACAGCAGCAATTCAAAAAAACTCCTAAAAAACAGAAGTAGTGACAAGTCAACCAAACTAAAAATGTTCATTTAAATGAAACTGCTATAAGCCTACTACTTTTAATACCACTAAAAACAAAATTAGGGCTTTTATAAGTTCCAGACCCATGCCCATGCACAGCTTCTCTAAGAAGTTTGGCTAATGCCCACACTCTCTAAACACAACTCGTATTTCAAAAACTATGTTGGTCTAATATTATTGCACCAAAATTTTTTAGTTAGACTTACATGCCTCCCTGCCCCCAGCATATTTTTCATAAGGCATAAAGCCACAAACACAATACAGCTATAGATGAGTTGACAAGACCAAATCAGTAATAAAACTGATTACATTTAAGCACAACTTAAAATCCCTTCTGTGGCACCTTTTTCATAAGTTCAAGACACTGAGACTCACTGAATCTGCCTGATCATCTCCCTCAGGAACTCTTCTGTCCTGCATACTGCTAATCACCACTACAAAAGTGGTAATTCCTCAAAAGCCAAAGCATTTCTCAGTTATCCTCTTTATTCCTCAAAATTGCTGCACAAATGTAAAATTACTGTAGTATGCACAGTGGATAAGGAGGTACATTCAAGGTACAGCAACTTCATGTGAATGCAAATTCCCAACAATTCATGTTTTCAAGCATGACAAGCACTTTCTACTAACGCATTTTATTGCATTTCAGTTTGTCTTACTATAATGCCCATTAAAGTCTCACTATGAAGATGCAGGTAAAAGGTGCTAATAATGTCATATTTCCAAATAAAAGCCTTTTGCTATTAATTCCACATTAAAAAAAAAGTCTTTGAAGATTATTTTCAAAGATAGAGCTTTTGCCTAAATATACAAATAGAACTACATTCATCTCCTGCATGGCATTCAAACCAATTGATAAAATTTCAATTTTACCACCAATAAGTTTTTAAGTGAATCAGGTCTATGTTCAGTAACAAAAATTCACAAGTGTTACCTCAAAGAAGGTCACGTATAAGGGAGAAGGCAGGACTAATCCTTTCAACAGCAGCCTAGATTCAAACTGACCTGTGGCCTCCATGTTTTCTATCATCCTAAAATACTCATCTAATGTTTTATTTATTTTTAATAGCGACTGAGACAAACAATCCTTAGAGCAGAATCAGAGGGGTTGGTAAAAAGCAGCTTTCCAGAGCTCAAATCAATTTAGGTCTTCATTTAGAGAAGCATACTTCCAAATAATACTGGCAACCCAGTCAATTAAAAAAAAAAAACAAACAACTAGGTAGTTGGACCTTGTGGACCTGCAGACAGCTCCAGTGCACCTGCTATTGCTCTGCCTTAAGATTCTGAGAAATCTAATTTCTATTTGGAAAAGCTAACTACCAAGCACAGCACTAACCTAATCTGCAATTGCTGCTTGAGAAAATAATGAGCAGCAGGCAATAACTGAGCGACTCTCAGAGGGAAAGATAGTACTGAACAAAACCCTGTGCATCTAGGGTGCTTCAGAAGCAGGACTGAACAGCAAAGGCTTTGATGTCATAATAGAAGAAAACATGAATAATCTTCTTTAAGATTATTCTAGACATTTTTTCCAAATGAACAGGGAGAATAAGGAGGCACAGAAGGTGGAAGATGACTCCAGAAAGAGATTTCAGCAATCCTCCAAACTACAGGGTTTTGACTCAAGATCTTGCTGATGGCAATTTCTTTCCTGACTATAGCATTTAGTCTTTTGTTGCAACAGCTCTTAAAACAAAAAGCAGATTTTCATGAACAGGTGGACAAGGAACTCTTTTGAAAAACAATTAAATTCACTGCACTTATCCCCATATTGAAAGTCAATCTTCAATACATTTGAAGTTAACATTTAAAGCAGTCCTACAGTGTTTCTTTTTGAATAAAGCCAATTCAAAAGAAGTTAATGAGCACACTTAAGACAATTTTTCCTCTCAATAACATTTTCAGAAATACTGTGCATTAAAACATCTTAATATTTGCAGAAACAAAATGAAGTGTCGCATGCAAATAATGTGAATCTATAATAAAATTCTGTTTCCTTTGGATTATGCTGCAGTAATTTTTCTTTTCCCTAACCAGTGATAAGCTATGCCAAAACCAGATCTAAATAATTTAAGATATATATTCACTATGTTCAGTGACAGAATTTTTTTCCAGATTAGGTCCTTGAAACTCAACTCACATATGGAATGAAAAAAACAACCAGTACCCAAATAAGTACTTCATTCTGAAAAACATTATCTCATTTCATGTTGATAAACAAAATTTTGCAGCATACTTGACTCTCAGGAGAGGCCAGGCATGAGTCATGTCATGATCTGGAAAGCAGCCAAACCAGAACTTAAATAAGACAAAACCAGCTATAGCAAACGATGCGCGCATCTGTTATTTGCTTTGACTGACTTCAAGAGAACAGGATCTTGGGGAAAAAGATAGTGGAAATTAATAGTGAACAAGTGTAAACTACAGTTTCCTTACTTATCAATGCACCTGCTCCACAGTCTTATCAGACTAATAAAGGAAGCTATCAAAATATTTATGTTTCCTCATCACCAGTTAAAATTACTATAGTCAATTCCAGCTTGGCCCTGCTACCTTAAAACAGTCTGCTGCATTGCACATCCAAATTTACATCCATCTATTTATAAGAATGGTGCTTCTAGATTTACCGCATCACTACTTTGATATTACTGGCCTAATTGCCAGAAGATTGCCTAAGAATACAGGTATGCTGGCACTACTATTAAAACTCCCTGATACTAACTGTAGTACAGATGCTGCTGTGATGAACAGCAAGGCTAGTAAGTATAGGAAATGCAACAGTTACTGATGCTAAGAGTTTATTGTCTGGTTACCAAGGAAATCTTACTCAAGTATGACAATACAGTCAGGCAGATTTTTGCTCTCCAAGAACTAATGCTTGACATGCAACAAATTGTTTAAAAAAAGAGATTCAAGCAAGGTTTCCCAGGTAACTACAACTAGTGAGTCCCAGGATCCCTTTATGATATCACTTGCAAAACTACACCAGTTAAGCAGTCAGAAAAAAAATAAGCTGGTATTCTAGAATGTAAGAAAGTCTCAGTGAGTAAACCCAGCTCCAAAAACCAAGATAGACAAGGGTGAAAGGAACTCAGCAAATAATTAATTTCTAGATAATCAGAAAGTGACCATCTTACATACAACAAATACCTCAATTTCTACCCTTTTTCCTCCCAAGCTTTGATATTTAAAAGTATATAAAAGTGTGGCTTGAATTTTGAGTTTATTTTCTAAAAACTAATGAAAAAAAAAGTCACTACACTCTGATGTAACTGCTAGTCGTTCTCTGATACCTGAGCATTCCAGCTTTAAAAATCATGATCTTCCAATTCCATAAATAGTCCCATGTCAAATAGTTTCACACACACAAAACTGTAAATCTCTTTGGTGAAGCTTCACCAACACTTAAAGAGAACAGTACTCTGTAACTGTATAGAATAAAGTCTTGACTCCTATGTAATTAGTACTAATAGATCAAGACAGTATAAAGGATAAGCAACCCAGTACTCATGACCAAGTAAATGAAGAGAGAAAGACTAGGAGAGCATTCACTTCAGATGACTGGATGAGGTGGGAGCAAGACATTTCCATGCAAAACTCTGAACTGAGAGACGGAGCAGTATTCAAAAGTACTGCTCAACAAGAAAGCAGTTAACCAGATAGACAAATGAATCTGATTTACTCAAACCAAACTCACAATAAAGTTAGCTTTTAGGCTTTTGTCTCATCTGCTGAGAGAAGATCAAGTACACTACATCTTAACTAAGTATATCTAACTCAAAGATTTCCCCCCCGGTTTCATTCAATACTGAGGTTTTGAAACCTGAAAAGTAGGTTTTTAGAGCAAGAAAAAATGGGACTTTAAACTTATCTACTGATCACTACCATGACACTTTCAGCTTTCATGTGGGAAAACCATCAATGCATCAAGACAATTGAGATCATAGCAAGATTTATGACCTAACATTCTGCAGCTCTTTAAGTTGAGTACAACTTTTGGTCAGTTAACTGTGTAACCAGTCATTCCCACAAACATTATGATTCAAACATAAAAATATCTTCTAAAATGGACTCCTTTAATAAACATTACAGGAAATTAATCTTAACAAATACTTATTACATCACTAGAGGTAGAATCAAAGAATTTAGATAACTTATTTACAATTGTATGCTGCCAAAGGTTGGTCTTCAAATACTTCAAAATAAGATTTTCCAAAAAGATGTCTGCATGGTGATCACTTATTGCTTTACATTATTTATCTTGCCCCTTGCAAATTCAGAAACCCCTTATGACACAACACTGCAACACCTGACTTGAATATTCAACAAGGATATAAAAAGATTAAACTAAATTCTAATATTCATACCCTCAAGTTAGCAAGTCTTTGTCTCACATAGCTATGTCACCTCGTAAAACCACTCTTGAAAGCTCTGTGGATCTCCAAGAGCCCACTACTATCGTAACAGTAACACAGACAGCCTATATTGTAAAGGAAGTAATAAAAATATGTACTTACAAAGCTAGGCTACTCAATACGTATTGTACGTGCTCACATTCAGCTGGGAATGATACACAGGCAGAGGTGAAACAACAGAGTGCCGTCTGAAGCACCTGAAGCTGCGGCAAAGGAACCTGCCATCTTCCAGCATAGTCTTCAACAACCTAATGACAAAGACATTGAAATACATATTACAATGGAAAACGCTCTTTAGTCAGAAAAATGTAGTTAATACTGTACCTGCTTTATCTCCCCTCCTTCTCCCTCAGAATCAGGATTTGTAACCAAAAGAACCTGACTATTTTGTGTCATCAAATAAAAATAAATACAAACTTTGTATCCTACATTATAAAAGATATACCACAACAGACCACCAACTATTCGGAGAGTAAAGGCAAGGAAATACTTCCTTCTTACATAGTATCATTCAAACACAAGTTTTTGTTTTGCAAGAAGATACAAATAGAGAGAGTCTGTAACAATATCCAGACATTCCATTCTCAAAATTTCGAAGAGGGAAATGACTGACCTGTGCTCTTCTAGCCTTTATGTCAAAGGCAGACTCATCCTTTCTTATCTGATCAAATAAGTAAATTTGGCTTTTTTTTATATAGCCGATGGAACTAAGGTTAGTTATGCCCTGATCTACAGTTATGAAACTGCATCACTCTTTATAGATAAACATGAAGGTGAAAAATATGTGTTTTAATGTGGGCAAAGAAGTGGATTTTCTCCACTGGGAAGCTCAATAACCCAGCACCACTGTTGTCTCAAAATCTGGAGCCTGGTTTCCAATAAGCCAATACTGCACACAGAAATGAGATACCAGGTTTATTACAATCTTGCGCAGGATCGGGTGCTAGCAGGCTAATGCCAAAAAACCTAGCACATCCACAGGGGAACAACAGAATATTTACACACTAGAAGTTGAGATCAAGTTACCTCGTTTCACACTTATCTATTGCCCTTGATTGGTGTCTTAACTCTAGGCTTTTCATTTATGGATGCAATACACAAAGATTCAGAGGGTGTGGGCTAAAATTGAGTAGGGGGCGTTTTGGCTTAGGGATGTGATCTTCACCATGATCAGTGCAAATCCAACTAATGATGCCCATCTCTGACTTCATGTCCCCTCAAGTAATATAACAGGGTTAACAATATTTCTGTGGGGGCGTTCTTCCTCCTCTTCTGGTATCCGTGACATCTTATCTGTCCTGTTACCTGCATGGTTAACTGTGCACTCAGGGCTGTGCCCAGCAGCAATTATCACCCTTTAGCAGAGCTATTCTGAGTACTGCTCAATATCACCTCACATTTCTACACTGGTATCACTACGCTGAAGTCCTCTGAAAGGCCCAGTCCTTTTAAAGCACTCCATGTATGACACATACAGCACCAAGCTCAGCACAAAGCATAGCAATAAAACAGATAGTTGTAAAGGCACCACCAATTCTGTGACAGACTAGTCATGCTGCAGTCCCCCAGCAGAAGGCCAAGGGCTTTGGGTCATCTATCCTCCTTTAATCAACAGCTAAGACATGACTCATAGGCAGTGTTCTAAGCAGAGACTGAAAACTCTATTTCTTCCATGCTCTTAGCTTATCTCATTGCACTACAGTCTCCCTTTGCTCACTTACTCCTCCCTTATTTTTTCCATCATTACAGCACAGCTTCAATATAAGCAGAAGTGTGGACTAGCTGCACTTTAGGACCTAGGGAACTTTTCTCCAGCTGAGGAAACCTAACTGAGATTTGCATCCTGAGAAAGTGAGAACCTGGTGGGGAAATGTCACGGAAATCGGGAACAGAAAAACCTCTTAACACCAATGTGGCATTAAAAAGCAGGCATTCTTTATTCAACACTGGGTGCAAGGAGCATTATTTATTCCGTCCAAGCTCACACAACTACTGGCACTTTTCTTGGCATATTTACACACAAAAGTTTCAGATTTACATAATCTAAGTTACAATGATTGGTAGCAATTTAAATGTAATTATGCTACATTTAAATGATCTGCTGAATCATTCTCAGATCAAACTGCACTTGCATACAAGGGGTCCTCCGGTGGTCTCTTGTGACTCTGAAGAAGAACTCTTGCTGTCCTTTTCATGAACTCTGAGTCTTTCTCCCATATATATGGTCTTTCCTGGCCCTGTAACTTTTATCTGTAGATTCTTCAAGTTCCTTATCTTGGTTTCATCTACTGTTCTGCTGGATTATCTGTAGCCCTTCAGAATGTACTAGGATATATCAGTGTAGTAGGATGTATCAGTTATGGTTACAAAAATCACATCCTTGAGTGAGTTCTTGTTTGAGGCCCCTTACAACACAAATACAATGCCATCAGTCCTGCTGTAAAGAGAAAGGTAAAGCACTTCATAGCATACAGAAGGAACAAGTAACCGGCTTCAAGAAAGCTAGAAAGTGTCAATCCCAGTTATACCTGGGCACCAATCTCAAGAGCCAGGCTGGCCAATAAAGCATAGATTAAACAAAAATCAGATATCCCTTCAGGATTTATTTTTGACTTAAAAGTCCGTGAATCCCACTTACATTTGTATAATTCCAGATGAACTAAATAAAGGATTTACAAGTCAGGTTAAGTGTCCTACATATTTAGTTTCGAAGCTGCATGCCTAACTTTAAGGCTCTGCAACATGAACAGGCCAGTGTCTCATTTCTGACAGTTTGGTTATAGCTGCTCCAAAGCAAAGCAGTTACTGATGATAGGACTGGCATTTTTTTTCTCCTCATCAACAACAGCTGAGACTGTTTTATATTTTGGAAGCAGATTTTGCCTTCCCTCTAAATTTACTTTAATAATTCCTATTTGAAAAGCTGTTAGCTTAATGCAGCAAATATCTAGGTCAACTGGAAGAGAATTAGCAGACTTGTAATAAATACTCTTCCTTTTACAAGGAAGAATAAATACTTTATAGAATAGTACTGCCTCACACATTTATCGCATGTTCTCCAAAATACTTTTAGCAAGGTCCCTTGCATAGGAAATCACAAAAGCCTTGAGAAAAACAAAGCAGACACCGAATGTTTTTTAGTGGTTTGAACCTCCAAATGGTCAAATAAAGGTGGAACGAGAACATCAGTTCTCACCATGGTGTTACACAACACTTTGATCTGAGAGGCACAGCATAGATAAGTCCATAAATGATTTCAAGCAATGCAACAACATCTTGTTATATTGATTTTTTTCCTTGGCAGCATAAAGCACTAACTGGGTAGAACTGTGGATTTATGACAGTGAGTGACAATATTCAGCATAGACAAGTGTACAGTGGTACTTGGGGAACTAAACAAATCAAATATTTCATATGATGGCCTTCAAACTGACAATTACCAGCCAAGAGCATGACTATTTTATTATGGTAGATGTTTTAACAAAAAAAAAAAAATCACCTCAATGCTCATCACATCAGCCAAGAAAGCAAATTAACGATTAGGAGAGTAATAATATAAAACAAAGCAGTGTTAACGGCTCAAAATCATAGCACATCCCTACATCTATAAAATTGCATGCTGTTTTGCTACCTACCCATTCGTATCTCAGAAGAAAATACAGAAGGCCTAAAAAAAGCTTCAAAGTAAGGCAAGAAATGCTAAGTTGTGAAATAAATTTCACATAAGGATCAATGCAATAGAAATATTCACCAAAAGTTACTAACTTTAGTACATTAGCTCAACTGAAAATAGTTAGAGAGGCTAAAGTTACCGTATTTGCTCATCTCGTTCTTTGGTTAGGCATATATGAAATTCTGATAAGATTCTAGTTCTAATGTCAGTGTCCTGCTTCTGCAAATAATCAGCATTCAAAAGCAACACAACAAAGGCTCACGCTGAGAAGAAATTATACTGTAGTCTCTACAAGGTGCAGTCCTACTGTCCTCACTTTATGAAGGCCTATACAGCCCTACTGGTTACCCCTGCTGCACCTCTGAACCCAAAGGAATCAACTGGCAGAGAACAGCCCCCACTACCCATAAAAAGCCATCAGCCGCTGTCTGCATCAGCTCTCTGAACTGGCCCACCACCCTGCCACAGAAGTACCACAGGCAGCACAGAAAGGAAGACACCACAACAGCAACATTTAGTTCGGCAGTTAGTTTGTAGCAAAAATATATCCACACAAGATTTACAGATAGAGTCCACCATCCCCCCCTTCCCCACAACTGGTCAGGAAGAATATGAATAGCATATTTTTTTTCAAGTATGGATAATTGAAACCATGTACTCCTCAGTCTCAGGGGGCAGGGAGGGGAAAAAAGTCTAAAACTGGTCAGTTCTCAGTGGACTTGCAACAATCACCAGTAAAAGATGGGGTGATGAGGTGTAGGGAGGATGACAGGGAGAGTAAAACCCAAACTACTTATGAAATAAATGCCAAACCACACTGCACACAGATTCTGCATGGAAGGAGGGGAGAAATGCATGTTTACAATTCTATGTACACTTCAATGTCTGTTTTTAAGTGCTCTCGTGGAATAGCTTTTTCTATAATAAGAACTATCACTTCTTTTCTTTTTGTTCAAAATACTCAGCAAGCTTTGAAACTGGACTGTAAACCAAAACATAGGTAAAGGTTTGTAAAAAAAAAAAGACACAACAAAACCAACAAAAACACACCAAACAAAAAATTTAACCAAAAACCCCCAACCAAACAAAAAAACTTAACCACTTCTGGCATTTTTCAAGGAAAAGAAAAGTTGAACAGACATACATATGTTCACCGTCACATTATTGTGTCAGAGCACTTCAGAAAATCACATTATGCTGCTTGAGTCTTAAATACTTTATTTAAAGTTTATGTTTATCAGCACATTTTTAACAAGCGCTCTAATTTCAATATAATGAAGTCAGCCAAACAAGAAGCATATAACATTGTCATAACAAAGGGTCCTGTTCCTTGCCCAATACAGAGTGTAGAAAGCCGGGAGGGAGGTAACATTTTCATGTGACTTTCTGCAAGGATTCCCTTCGAGAATTCTGTTACGATGCAATTTGTCTATACTTAAAGACTCTCCATGCATCATTCTTCTGTCTATCTTTACCTTTTAAACTACTACCATACATGAAAAGATCGTGGCCTTTTGTCTTCCCTTATTCAGTACACATACTGAAAGGGAAACAGAAGCATCTTTCTGACATCCCCCTCTCCTCCTCCCAGCACTCAACTCCACCTTTCTCCCACACCAATACACTACTTTAATAAGTTTGAGTAACTCAGAGGAAAATCCATGATACAGATGTGTCCTATGAAGTGCAAAAACAAAGACCAGACTTAACAGTCTCCTATAAGAAGCTTCTAAGCACACAGCAATAGTAAGGTAGTGATTAAAAACCTGAATGTAAAAAAAAAAATAAAAAATTCCTGGAATATTATGTTCTAGAACATATGCAGATACTCAGAACATACATCTAAAGCGATTTGACTATATTCCAGACACTTAAAGAGAAATAACACTGCAAATACCTAGATGTGCAAAATACACAGGACACAAGAAACAAACGTTGTACGCAGTGCTAGGCCTGAAGTTGCTACAGCTTTTCCTGGCTCTCCCCACAACAAAAAAAGAAAGTAAAAAGAAAAATCCCACCAATTCTAAAGTTCTGTCATGACTAGGATTTTAAGTTAGCCCCATAAATTTTTGTGAGATTTAACAGTAGGGGAAGTCACGACAGGATTAAAACCACAGCAGTTCTGAGTACTGCTGTTAATTGTTAGAAAAAGAAAGCTACTGGCAAATACAGTGGTTGTCATTTGTTATAATGAGCAAATATAGTGGTTGTCACAGAACAGAAGGAAAAAAAGAAGGATTTAAAATGCCAAGCAAAGAAGGGGCATGGTTTGAAAAACTAAGTTTCCTGAAAATTAAAAACCATAATCAAAGCAACACCTAATCATGGTTGCCTGTTCAACAGAAGTACCAGAGCAGCTCGGATATCAAATCTCTGATCTAGAAGAAAACTTCAGTAAACACTAAGTTTACTCTACCTGGAAGCATCAGAAGAAATAATCACACCTTTTTTACTGTCTTTTTAACCTGTTTAGCGGATGATGAGCATTCTGTTCTGTTTCCTCACACAACCAAGCTAACTGTCCTTACAAAAAAGGATTCTATTATCCAACCAGAGAGTAGAAAAGGCGCTAAGATAACAGAAAGCATTATTTACCAGGTAGGAGTTTAAAACAGTTTTATATGATGTAACTAAA